ATTTAATTTCATTAAAAGTAACTCAATGTTGACCGTCTCGAATGCCCTTTTGAAATCCAGAAAGACAACACCTATAATACGTTTTTTAGATAGCTCAACTTTCCACGAAGAGATTAGAAATTGCAGTGCAGTTTCACATGAATGGGATTCCCTAAATCCAGATTGTTCTTTAATCAAAATATTATGTTTCGCTATAAATTTCATCAATTGCTCTTTCACTGTGATTTCTAATATTTTCTCATAAATTGGCAGGGTATTTATGGGTCTAAAATCAGATCCTAAAACCTATTTCCCAGTATTTCAAATGTTAACTTGATTATATTCAGATTAATTCCATCGTCATCTGTATTATTTTTCTCGAGGGAAAAAATTATCTTTTTTAACTCGCACATATTCAATGTTTCAAATTCCCCTCATTTGTTGGTATAATATAACTGAGAACATGATTATAATCATTTATTGGTACTATACTTTCGGTTAGATCTTTCAAACTGTGAACGAAAAATGAATTGAAATATCCTGCTACTTTTGCTTCATTTGTTATAAGAACACTATCAAATTGTATACCTTTGAACTCTTGTTTTCTATTTCCCTTTACTAAACCACACTTTCAATTTGAAATTATTGAAATTATGCTTCCTTTTGAATGGTGCATGTATTTCCAAGCATCCACAGTTCTTAGAGGCACAAGTATCAGAAGTTCATCAAAATAACCAATTCTCGTTTTTTTAGAAAATGCAGTTGAAAAATAGGTGTTAGACCCGAAAATGTAATTTTGCTTACTTATCATATTTCTATCTCTCATATTAATCCCTGAAACTTTGCGATTATCATTTTTTGACATCACCTGAAGTCCTTAGATTATTTTACTTCCGATTATAACCACATACATAAAGTATTAAAATTTACTCTAGAAAAATGAAATATGTATAAAACCTTACGAAAATGTCACATTTGGATCCAGAATTGTCTCGAAAAAAAATAAAATTGAAATATACAGGGTGTTCTATTTAGAAATTCAAAACCAGAGCCGTTTTAAATGTACATCTCTATGTAATACATGTGTTTGTAAATCTTTTTACTAAATCTGACATGTGCAAACAACAGTGTAGGACCAATAAATTTATTTTTTTTCTTCTTGACATCTGGTATACTGTATACCTTGCATTGATGGAGGCGTCCATGGAAAGATCTACAAACAAAAGGCAAATGGGCAGCTAGTGCATGCCTAGATGTCATCGCTGGTTGAGCATGTCATGATCAATGAGAATTATTATTCCGGTGAAGAAAGTTTTGTATAATGCAAACATGTAAGGGATAATAAGGGAATCAAGATTCACAGCAAATAATGATAAGAATATACCATTTTGAGAATTCTCATTGTCAAAAGTGAACCCCAAAGTATTTTTTAACATTAACAAAATTTTGTATTTCCGAAAGTAAATCTGACTAGAATTGACTGATACTTGATTAAAATCCATACGTATTCAAGTAATACTTCATTCTGAGATTTCTACTAGACATTTTAGGAACATTAATTGATGGCGGTCGCCGTTACTACGTAGTAGGAGATTACAATGAGAAATGAAACTTTTATTTATTTGTAACTAACGTTACTGCAGTTTCGTCCTATAAGGACATTTTTTATTGTGTAAGTTTGAACTGTCCTTAAGAGACGAAACTACAGGAACGTTATTTACAAGTGGTAAAAACATAGAAAGTTCAATTTTTCATTTTAGGAATACTTAATTTTCATATGAAAACGCATAAAGCTATTATATAGCAAATATGTGTTGTGGTTTTGTAACCTGTCTAGTGAAATCTCAATAAACTATTACTTGAATAAATCAGACTCATGACATGAGCAGACAAAAATTTATGAATTTCAAAAAAATTATAATTTTGTGTGTGCTACATACTGAAAAATTACCAGTTAAATGTATATTATAGATAATGCAAGAAGTTGCCCAGCTATCTCAGTTTGACGAAGAACTTTACAAAGTAATTGGAAAGGGTAGTGAAAAGGGGGACGAAAAAGAAATAGAGGAAAAGTATCTCATCGCCACCTCTGAACAACCAATTGCTGCATTTCACAGAGATGAGTGGATTGCTGAGAACTCTCTACCTATTCGTTATGCTGGACTTTCAACGTGCTTCAGACAAGAAGTAGGATCTCATGGACGTGATACTAGGGGAATTTTTAGAGTTCATCAGTTTGAAAAGGTATTTTACTTGAAGTATTTGAGATTAAAAATATATCTTCATATCGAACAGTAAATTAGATTTCATTGGAATGAATGGAATTCAAGGATAGTATTTGAAAATTGTTGAAATATTTTTGAGAGTTATAACAAATAAAAAACTTAGTAGAAATCAGACAATAGTTAATTTCTTTATCCTATTATCAATATGAATTTCTACAAAATAACTGTCATCATTCGAACAAATTTTTATAGAGAGATTCATCATAATTTTTTTCTTATAGGTCGAACAGTTTTGCTTAACTTCTCCATTCGACAACAAATCTTGGGAAATGATGGACGAAATGATAGGTAATGCAGAAGAGTTCTATAAGTCTCTTGAAATCCCATATCGTGTAGTTAATATTGTCTCGGGGGCATTGAATCATGCTGCAGCCAAAAAGCTTGATTTGGAGGCATGGTTTCCAGGCTCTGGAGCTTTTCGTGAGTTGGTTTCATGTAGTAATTGTCTTGAGTACCAAGCAAGGCGTTTATTGGTACGTTATGGACAAACTAAGAAAATGAATGCTACTACAGACTTTGTACATATGTTGAATGCCACGATGTGTGCAACTACAAGAGTAATTTGTGCTATTCTAGAAAATAATCAAACAGATTCAGGTATTAAAGTACCAGCCGTTTTAAAAGTTTTCATGCCTGAAGAATATCAGGATGAAATTCCATTTGTTAAACCTGCCCCCATTGATATTGAGAAGGATTCTAAGAAAGCTAAAAAGCAAAAAGAAGGAATGAAGAAAGCTGGAGGTGAGGAATAATGATGGATTTGAGGAAAATGTTTTCAGGTCTGGAGTTTCATTGATAATCTGCTTTTTGAGGAATTTTAGCTTTCGATAAGTTCAAACGCATTTGATTTTTACTTTTTATAATCTTGGTAATTTTTATTTCAATAAATGTATTCGTCTTCAGAAATATATCTTCATTCACCAAATATCCATAAAAAAGGAAAATTTATAACATTTATTACAGACATTTTCTAAGAACATTGAAGAAAGTTTTTTAGTTTAATGATGCTCATCTAAATATAATTGAATGATTACGAGCTTGAAAACAGATTGAAAGAGGAATCCTCAATCGGTTTTTGTACTATTCATTAAGATCTGTTTATGGTGCCAAGATGAACTGAGCAGATTTCTCCTCTTCTCGTGGATCTGCGTTGTCGAATCCCTCATATGAAATTTCACGAAAAATATAGGGTGTTTGTTTCAAATGAAGTGAACATCAACATTCCGCCCACAAAAAAATATTTTCAAACTGTAGCTTTTACTTTGTGCATGAATATTGCAATCTTCCTCTGGATATTGGATATAAAAAAAATTTTAAAAGCCTCAAAAACTAATCAAATGAAACAACACAAAGCATGTTACTGATGTATGAGTTGACAAAATTAAACTACAGGTCTGTCTACAATTCCTGTACAAATTGTAGACAGCTTATAGCATTTAACCCTGATTCTACTTCTTTAGGAAAATACTGGATCATACCTATTTAAGATATTCATGGACCAAAAGAATAACTTCAGGTTATGGTGAAAGGCATTTAATTGCATTATGGAATTTTTTAAATTATATTACAATGAGATGGTATTATGTACATATATAAACCTGAGTTCTTATTTGCAGTCTTGTAAAAAAAAAACAATAATGAATTTTGCAGTAAAATATCATGTCCCCCACATTTAATTCAACCTTCTGTTCCTCCGAATTTCAGGACTATTATAAAAAGAGCTTGCATCTCCATATATTGGTTCCCTTCCACTGGTGTTTCCACAACAAGAACAATTGAATCTGCAGGACGTTTGGCTGCGATTAGGAGTGTTTGGGGAGATGGTTGGAGTTATTCTTGTCATGTTAGCAGATAAGTTTGCAGCACACCGATGGGAAGTTTGACTTGGAGTAAATGTTTGGGTGGGAGTCAATAATCTACTCGGATTGACATTGACATTTACTACCGGCTGCATATAGTTTGAATAAACTGAAAAAAAAGACCATTAGTAACTCTTCTGATAAATTACAATTCTTACTCAATTTGCAACATGAGACGTTGCAAAGTGAACAGCTGCTAAATTGGAAAAAGCAAATAATTACATTTAATACTCACAGTAAAATGTAAGGAAGAAAATTATCATCATAGCAATTGCCATAGCTATTGCATATTTGTAGTTCTGTAAGAACAGGAACACTGGAGACCTGCCCACCGAACAAAGTTGTTTTTCTAAATTTCCAGTGACTTTGACAATAACCTGTAAAAGTTAAATTAGATCTCGAACCCAAAAATTTTTAAATTTGGTTACCTTTAAATGCTGTTTGGTTGATGGTGATGATATAATGATACCCATAGCTTCTTGAATGTCTGCCAGTCTCCAGTGATAATCAACCAACTGGATTTCATATTTTCTGGAAGTTTCATTAACAGATTTACCTTTGCTGACATAGAGGATACTTGTATCAGCTGGATACACCTGAAATTAATGTATCAAGTAACATTACTGTAGTGGTAGTGTATTGATTTACTGAACCACTCAGTATATTAATTTATATTCGAAAGCGTAAGTTTTCAGGCAGAGATAAAAACAAGTAGGTATGAAATGATATATTTGTAAAATACACTGTAAAATTTCAAGAGAACTTTGTGGAAATGAACCAATGAAGTGGAATTGAAATTGCTTGTGTAATTGAAATAGAAATGTTTAGTAGTTTGGTATTTCTAGAATCCTGAAAGATTATTTTGAAAAAATGTACACATCTTAGCTCGAAATTTACCATACCTCATATAATAAATGCCATTAAATGGCATCCTCAATTTGAGTGTTTCTGAATTTTTATTGACTCAGAAACACAGGGATAATTTGAATGGAAAGGAAGAGGGAATGAACATTAGTAAAATCTGGTGATCTGTTCTTAATTGTACACAAACGAAGTCATTTGATCCAATTAAGAGAAACAAATCCACGCCCACCAATGATGATATGAAACCAGAGACAAATTCAAACATTGTAGTTTCTGTAGTTGTAGTTTCGACTGTCACATTATCGTTTTTGATGTCTACCGCAGTAGTAGACAAAACGTCAGGAAAAAACCTGCAGACTACTGCCAAAAACCCAGAAAATAGCTTTGACATAGTTATTACCGGCAGTGATGGTTTACACTCTTTGAATTAAAAGTATTGTTTTTATTTTATTTTTTAACTGTGTTAAAATCACTAATGCAAAGAAATTTGTTTCTTGGGATAAATAAAGGTGTAGTTCAAGAAAAATGTTCATTTCTCCATAACTGAAATTCTCCCGTCAAAGATGTCTCACAAAAATAGGGACCTATGATTTTGGTTTTTAGAATACCGAGCCAAACACAATCTTTGAAATACGGAGTTTTATGTCAACGAATATTTATCCAGAACAGTATACTGCCTACTTCATCTCCTGAAGTAGCCAAATTAGTTGGCGAAACACGTGTCGAGAAGAGTATTGCATTTCTAGTGTTTCGGAGTTGTTATGTAGGTGGTGGTGGAAATGAGTCTGTTGATATTTCGGGTTTACACAGGTTTATTGGCATCAATAGTATCCAGAGAAATTTACATATACATATAATCAGGTAGGACCACATTTACACTCATTGTTTATTAATATACCTATCTACAACCACGGCCATCGATCGACTGTTCGACCTCACCGTTCCCTGATCTGGAGATCGTTCTCTGGGCATGCGCCCTTGGCACTCCAGAGATTCTCCCTTTCATAACGAATATTTATGTTGAACAATCCATTATTTGTTAATCTACCTAGTCACATCTACCTGACTCAATCTATAAAATGCAATTGATGAGTTTTTGTGATGATGTTCAATGCCAAGAATTTATTTCTTTTCAATTTTTACAATGTATCACTATTATGTGCAATCTTCCTCAATGACAGTTTCTATGTTTTGCATATGCAGCCTAATGGCAGACTTCATATATCTCGACAAACAAATGATGTTGACCAATATTACCCACAAAAAAATGCTATAATGTTTGACAACAAAAAATGTTTATCCATCACTCATCAATTTGAATTTTATATACTGTAAAATTTGACAAATACTGAATGCACTTATCTCTTCATGTATGATTTTAATAATTATATAACTTTTAGAATTTTTTATTATTTGGAAAAAAAGTTTGTTTCTGGCTTGTCTTTGCATTTATATATGTATATATAGGAAGTTACTCGTGACGAATCTCCCAATGCACAGGTGCCTGATGGTTTTACTACAGCTTTCTGCACCGCATTAGCTTGGTTAGTTATTGTTTTCCGTCGGGTATCTGCCACACGTACCTACCTACAAAATTGTAGGTTCACATGAGAGGCAAGGGGTAAGGTGTTTTTCATCTGAACTTGGGCATGTCATATGCACCTCTCCGGAATACGCTTATTATCCTGACTCCCACCCCGGAGTTGTATGTGTTTGTGAAGTTATTTCCGGACTTTGTCTGCAGGTGGCGCAGTGGGCGCCACCTGCAAATAAAGATCATGACTAGTAGGAATTATAGTTTCGTTTGTTTGGGGTACTCAGACGGTTCACTCTGTCTGAAATGACCTTCCCAGTACTGTCAAAGAGCAAGTACTCCAAAACCTGTCTAACGGTTGTTGTCACGACTAAATGAAATTAATTTCTGCTTTTCATATGTATGAAGTTACTTGTGACGAATCTTCCGAATGGAAGACGTTGCACAGGCACCTGCAGCCTGGAAAATAATTCTATGAAATCTTCTCAATTTTGATTGCCTCCCTTATGATTCTTATGAGAGTTTTTGTTCCTCTAATCTGTCTGAAATTCACCTATTTGTTTGGCCGACTTATTCTCCTCTGCAATCTCCACATGGGATCTTATATATGTCTTGGTTTTCTAGGTTGACTTTGTCTTTTGGTTTGTTCGACAAATTTCTGATGGTTCTCCTAGGTTTATAAGTTGTTTTTATGTTGTTTCGCATTGGAATTTTTATTTTATCTGTAACTCCTCTGAACTAGGGCTATAGTTTCTTTTTATTGTATTTCTTATTTCTCCTTTATATTGTTTCGTGAATTTTATGATTTTTAAATCCTCCTGAAGAACTTTTTGTGTGTACTCAATTTCTTGTTTCTTTGTGTCTTCATCTATTAAACGTTCATATCTGAATATAAGGGTGTTAGCCACTAATAACACACTTTGTGAATAAGAAACCCTCTTAGACGATAAAGTACTTGTATATCAGATTCAAATGTTTCAGGTTCACACTTTTTTCATATTTGGGAGTCATCTGGTTTGTCTATTTATTCCAAGTTTCTGGAAAACACTGCAGCCTCATGAGCTTATTGCATATAACTTCCATCTTTTTACGAATCCCATGCCAACAATGTTGTTTCCTGTACTACTTTCAGTTGTCCATGCATTGTGTACCTTCTGTGATGTAGTGCCTCACATTCGCCTAAAACATGGTGGGCTAAGTCCGTCCCATTGTTGCACTTCCATTGTACAGTCCAATTTTTTTAGTTGATCTACAAATAGAGAATATCTAGTTTTTTTTTAAGGAGGTCCCTTTACAAAGGTTTTCCCATGTGGGTTTCCAGAAGTATTTTCTCAGAACTCTACGTTTCTCATTCGTCCAGATCTGGTGCCTCCACAGCCGATTCAGGATCAAAATATGGAGTTGATGATCGATGTCTAGCACATTCATTAGCTTTATGATCTATAGTATTTATAAAATTTCCGAAATTACCTGATACAAGATATTGGGGTTGTAAACTTCACTATAAATCTGGCCAGAATATTTTTAGAAAACCTTTGAAATTATATTTATAATATTTACCTCTATTTGATCAAGCACTTCTGGTAGTCCTATGACTGTGACTTCACCTGTAAAAACATTTTCTGCCAAAGTGACTTCAGGAGGTGTAAAAACACCGGGTAAAAACTTTATATTGAGTTGCTTTGATGTGATTTCACCATCTTCAGTAGAGGCCCAGAGTAACAAGTTGGTTCTCAATACAGATATGTCCATTCCACTTACTCCCAAATTAATCAGTTTGCATGCATACTGACCTAAAAGCATTACCAAATATTAGAATAAAATATTAAAATATCTGATTGCAGATACACACCTGATTCAGGTACCCAACTGTTGGTTACATTAAATAGTTGGTCAATAGTAATAGGCAGTGTATCATTAGAGAATTGTATGAAGCATCTGAATCCATGAGGTCTTATCAACTTTCGAACATCAGTTCTACACCTCCAGCCTTGTATCTGAAAATAAGTTCAAACATTGAGTAAACTCAAAATGTGAATCCTATTGCACGATTCTCATATCATTTATGT